TAATAGGTGACTAATTAGAAAAGTTGTGGCTTGAAATACAGATCGGGTTATGGCAGCACCCCAAAGGTTGGCTTGAGATACAAACTCAGTAACAGCAGCACAACAGGTACTAGTTAGGAAGAAATTACCGAACATGCAGGTAAAAACATGTGTAGGATATGGACTACTCTGTTAGGTTTACCTCGTGGATAGATTAGCCATATATGGTTAGTTAGTCTTAAGACAAGGAATTGATAAATCCAAAAATAGTTAGTAAGTTCTAAAGTAAGGTGCAAAATCTATAAATATCGCAAAAGCTACTATCGAATAGTGAGTTATACCTTGGTTAGGTAGAATGTAGCTAGTGGTTATAACCAGAGGGTTTAAATAAGTAACCCCTAGTTGGGGTACAAGTACAGCAGATAGTGTAGAATCTTTGGGCGGGCTACTTAAATTAGACACTCAAAAGGTATATGTGTGGCTATATGTACTCTCGTTGTAACTAATATATTATATATCTACTTAATAAAAAGTCCCCAAGCTGTAGAGGTCACCTTAACACTAAAAAAAAAAATTTTTGAACAGTTATAGCCAAGTCAGATAACTCAAAAATATTTATTATAAATGATAAAGATTCTAGAGAATCTTTAATTGCTAAATTTACTGATTTGTTAATTATAATTTTTAATACATTTATGACAAATATTAATTAAGTCTTGATTTTTTTGAATCTTGACTTTAGTTGAATTTTTAGTCCAATCAACAAATTTTTTAATAATATATTTATTATAAAAATTAATTTAATATCTGAAGCTTTTTTTATATTTTTTGTTAAGGTCAATTGTTGTTGGTTAACAAAAATAGTCTTTTCTATAAACTTTTACACAAATTAAATACACTAAGAATATTAGACAAGCATTTAAACAAAATTTTAAAAATATTAGTATTATAATAATAAAATTATTTGTAAAACAATATTTATTATAGTGAACTCTTTCTGATAATCACTTGGATCAAAATTTCTTATGAAAAAAAGTCAAGTTTGGATACTGGAGAGTAAAAAAAATCTGTAGTGGGTAACAATAAAGTAGTTTTTATAAAGATCAACTTTCTGTCTTTTATAGTAACTTCTTTATATATTCAATATGCAAGCCAAAACATCTTTATACAAGATAACTAGCTAGGGATATATGCTCTTGTATATAAAATTTTGATTTTCTTTCATTAATGAAGTATTTTGTTGTTAAATAACTAAAAAATAGTAAAGAACTTGCTATTCTTAAGCTGCACTCTTTTATTTGGCCAAGTAACTTCTCTCTTACTTACTTCCACTTTCCTGCTAGCTTTCCAAAATTTTTTACAAAAAGTGAGAGATTTGGCTTATCTCTTAAAAAGATTGGCAATGTTTATTTATTAAATTTAGATAGTCCAGTAGATTGCAACTATATATTTGTTTACAGATAGATATAAAGCTACTTCATAGTATCTGGCTTGGAATCTCTAATTATAGTAGCAGGTGGCTTAAAATACAGATTCTTAAATTGTAGCGGCATCTGGCTTAAGATACAGATTAGGATAGGTAACAGAGTTATCTAGACTTGTATATAAAGTGGAAAGTAAATTTAATATTAAGGCAAAGCTTTATACTAGAGATATACAAATATTGCATTTGTTATATAATTTTTTACTAGCCTTGCACAAATTATAATAGTGCCTTTAGGGTTTTAGATTTCTTTTCATATTTTTTCTTTTTCGAAATCAGTATTTCTTTTTTTTTTTTCTGTTTTTTTCTTTTTTCAGTTGTCTTTGTAAATTATTTGTTAAAAATTTCCTCTTTTTGTCTTATGCTCTTTGAGAAAAAAAAAGAATTAAAAAGAAAAAAAGAGATTCTGATGCGATAGACAATGGCCTGTTAATGATCAAAGAAGCAACCTTGTTGTTGCTAAATTTGAAGCAAGTTTTAAATCCTGAGAGAGACTAATAGTTGTTAATATTAGGCTTTGGCTTGATGAGTTTCTATTAGAATAAAACAACATACTATTTAGATATATAATACAATTGTATAGCCTTCTTTTAGTTATTCATAAAATAAATAGAAGCAGAATCATTTATTAAAAAATATATATATTTAATAGTAATTTTTAAAATTGAACTAATAATATAATTTAATTTATAACATAGATATTATATTAATATTACTGTAAATAAAATTAGACTACTTAAAAATTAATTTTTTATATACTAATTATACTGAAAAAATAACTAGATTAGCCAAAAAATCGGTTGGTTAATTTTTTATAGATATTCCAAAAATAATAAAAATAGCTATAAAGTAAATAATATTTGTAATTTTAATACTGTAGTATATAGTTTAAATAAATAGTGCTTGGCAAGATCAAATAAAACTTGATTTTTGAGTTTTTAATTTTGGACGATTAAAATATTATACTAAATTTAATTTTTAAGTTTAATTTGATTTTGCCAAGCACTATTTATAATCTTTACTATTAAGGGTTTTAGAATTACATCAAGAATTTTTTTTTATTACAGTTCTGCACAGATTTGCAAAAAAATTAAATAATAAATCAAATGAAAATCTGAGCAAAACTTCAAAATTTATACTATAAATACAGAAATTAAATGCAGTTCTGTACAAACTTCAAATTCTAAAAAATTTTGCAGATTTTTTATAACAATTCTTCAAAAATCTGCAAAAATACAGATTTTTGCAAATTTGTACTTATTTAATTTTTCTGATGTAATTTATTTTGAAAATAAGTAGAAAATGCTTTTTGTTTTAAAATTTTAAATTTTTTAAATAATTTTTAAATAAATAAATAAAAATTTTTCTTATATTAAACTTAGTTAATTAATATTTTAAATTTCAAAATATCAAAATAATTTATTATTATTAAAGCTTGCTCTTTATTTATTATAATTTAAATAATTGTTATATTTTATTTTTAAATAAATTTACTTTTTAAAAAATTTTTATATTTTTAATTAGACTATATAAACTTATATAATTAGTTTTCATATCCTGGCCGGGTCAGTAAAATGGAGATCAGAAATTTTTTTTTTTATATAGTAAGCTAATAAAAATTTATTATCTACCTAATACATTATACAAAAACCATTCCTTCCCGTGTACATGTTCTACATCATTTGTCAATTTATGCTACTTCTTAATTGAATACGCCATTTGGCAGGCATTTACTGTGCATATTGTGATCGAATAAGTTATATGAGAGTGTCATAATGATCATGTGATAAAACAGAGTATGTACTATAGCGATAGGGTATTAGATCGATAAGATAACTAAAGATCTGTTATATAGTGCGATTGATTTAAGCAAACTAAAAAAATATCTTTACTTGTTTATATACAATACAATAGGGATAAAAAAATAGCAAAATAGGGTTTACTATATGCAAAATCAAAAGGAAAGTTAAGTTTCTATGTAGTTTAGATGTTTGCGTTTTTTATTAGCCTTAGCCTTTATTGAGGATTTCCTTGCGTTGATCGAGTTACTTAAGAGTCAAATTCAGATGAACGGATTTAGAATTGGAACACTAACGTTGGCGAAAGCTGGAAATCTAGTTTCAGTTTTCACAAAAAAAAGACAATCGATGAAACTAGTGACACATGGTGAAACTAGAAATTGCCGAAACTAACGAATCTAAAAGGTATAAAGGAAAGCTAAGTATCAAATATTTCAATGACTTAGATGAATTCAATAGTATTTTAAATCAATAAATTTAATACCTTATTTATTTAATTTCTCTTAGGATTAAGGCCTTTCTATTTGCTATACAATTATATAACAAATAGAGAGTCATCTATATTAGACTTAACCTTTTTATTAATTAAAGCGAATATGGTAGCTATAGATTTATTATCCCAAGTATTTAAAATAATTAGCTTACCTCATTTTTTATTTGTGTTGATTTAATATATTAATCAAATTTATAATTTCTTATTCGCTTTAACTTAATTTGAAAGCATCACCTTAAATTACCTCTAAAAGTATTACCAATAACGGCTTATTTACTTCCCTGATAATCATTTTCTTGAGATACATTAGGATCAAACTTAATAGTAACTTGTTTTAGTGGAATATAGAATTATTAGTTTCGACTTTCAAAAGCTTGGCTTCTGTTACAAAAGAAATCACCTATACCAATATTCGTCAAATCGTTATAATATATCATTACTTGTTTTAATTTAGATCTGAATGGTTTAGATATTATGAAACTAACACTTTTTGCAATAGATATGTATATTTTTCATTTAGAGTTTTGTTTCTATGGAGCTTCAATTCTAAATCTGACAATCTGGATATCCAGATTAGAGATTTTTACTCGAATTAGTTAAAGAATTTGAATAACTGACCTGCGGATATTCTTAAAAGCAACTTTATATATAATCTAATGCAGATCCAATATGGATTTTATATAATCCGAGTGTCAAAAATAGAGTCAAAGCATTATCTATATATACCTTCCAAAACAGATCATCCCAATAATGATGTCATTGTAATACGTAAAAAAAAACAGGATTTAATGTTAAAAAACAAATAAATAACATAAACAACAAGCTTTAATAAGTCCTTTTTTATAAAAAAAAATTTTTACTATAAAAAAAAAAAAAGCCATGTGGCCGGGTCACTTATCACTGTCCCATGATATGAAAACCAAGTATATAATTTTGTGCAGCCTTATTATTAAAAACACACAAATTAATATCTAAATCAACAGTAAAAAATAAATAGTTTAATTAATCTACAATAATTTACTCTAATTTGCACTTTTTAAAAAAATAAAAAAGATTTGAAGTTTTAATATAAACTGTAAAAATATAATTTTACTAATTAGATTTTTATTTTAGAAAAATTATAATTAGCAACCCATCACTATAGTGACCCTATATAATCGTCTAATCATTTTTTAGATTGGCGATCATATAGATAATTTGAATTTTTTTTATTATTTTCTTTTTTTTTAACAATATTTTTTATTTTTTAGTTGTTGTTTTGAACCATTGTTATTGGAGCCATTTGTGCTTTTATTGAAGCCATGTTAAAACAGTACATAGTTGGAGCCATAGTAGGAGCCTCGATTAGATCATCGTTATTTTGGTAATTTAGTAAGTTTTTTTATTTAAGTTCTTTCACCAAATTTGTTAGGTTTCGGTAAGTTTGTTCAGAACTTTATTGTTATTTGTGGGTAAATTTGTCATTTTCAGTGTTTGCTTAATAGGTTCTTTGCTATTTTTGGTAGATTTTTCTAGTAAGTTCTTCATTGTTTTGGTGAATTTTTCTATACCTTAGCTTTTCGTTAAGTAAATTCATCATTTTTTGATATAAATTATTTGTTGCTTCTTTATTTTTTTTGAGTTCTTTAGGTTTTTTTTTTGGTAAATTCGTTGTTTCTTGGTTGTTTTTTGGTGGTGGGTCTTTTAGCAAATTCATTATTTTTCAGTATTCACTTAGTAGGTTCTTTGTCATTTTCAGTAAGTTCTTCTGGTAAGTTCTTCATCATTTTTGGTGAATTTTTTAGTACCATAAGCTTTTTGTAAGTAAATTTGTCATTTTTTGGTGAAAATTATTCATCGCTTTTTTTTTTTTTTTTTTTGAGTTTTTTAGGTTTTTCTTTTGGTAAGTTTGTTATTTCTTAGTTGTTTTTCGTTAAGCCTTTCGGCAAATTCATCATTTTTCAGTATTCACTTAGTAGGTTTTTCGTTGTTTTTAATAGGTTCTTTTTAGTAATTGGATCTGAGTAGGTGCTAACCAGATCACCCGCAGGTGGGCAAGTAACCCGGTTGGAGTTTTGGCTATCCAGGTAAAAATAGATGGGTCACCCAATGGGTAACTTGTGAACAATAATTGCAAGGCTTTACTAAAATATACACTTGTATGTATGTATATTAATTGTCTTTTTTTTTAAAAAAAAAAACCTTTAAAATAGACTAAGTGTTCTCAAATATCCATTTAATGGATTGGAAGTAAATTTTTTAAATATTACTATTTCAATGAAAAACCAGCAAGTTAGAAACTATTTTTTTTTCTTTAAAATCTTACTATTAATAAAAGTCACTCAAGAATTACTTTTGCATTTTTTATATATCAAGTATAATATACAATAAATCCTCAGTAAATTTCTACTGATCCAAAAAAAAATTACTATTTTATTTTAATGCTAGAGACTTTTAAAACAAACTACCATTATTACTTAGAAATATATTTGTATATCGTAATAACAGAGATATATATTTTTATCCAGGTGGCTCATAAGTCTACCTGACAGGTTGCTTTTTTAACCTATCTGAGTTCTACCCGAGTAGATTATGGGTCCACCTGTGGGTGACCCGGGTGGCATTTTTTTTAATTGGTCTAATCACTAGTTCTTTCAATAAGTTTTTAGTCATCTTTGATAAATTTTTTAGTACTGTAAGCTTTTCGTTAAATAAATTCGTCATTTTTTAGTATAAATTATTTGTTACTTCTTTTTTTTTTTGAATTCTTTAGGTTTTTCTTTTGGTAAGTTCGTCATTTCTCAGTTGTTTTTCAGTAGGTCTTTTGGCAAATTCGTTATTTTTTAGTATTTACTTAGTAGGTTCTTCATTGTTTTCAGTGGGTTCTTCTAGTAAATTCTTTATTATTTTTGGTGAATTTTTTAGTATCACTTTTTATTAAGTAAATTTGTCATTTTTTGGTATAAATTATTTGTCGGTTCTTTTTTTTTTTGAGTTTTTTAGGTTTTTCTTTCAGTAAATTAATTGTTTCTTAGTTGTTTTTTGGTGGTTTTTTGGCAAATTCATCATTTTTTGGTGTTTATTTAGTAGGTTCTTTATTGTTTTCAGTAGGTTCTTCCAGTAAGTTCTTCGTTGTTTTTGGTAAATTTTTCAATATTTGGTATAAATTCTTTGTCATTTTTTTTTAAGTTTTTTTCAGTAAATTTGTTAGTTTGTCGTTTCTTTTTTTTTTAGATAATTTGTCGTTTTTATTTCAGTAAGTTTATTATTTTTTGATGGTTCTTTCAAGAATTCTTCTTCATTTTCACTCTTCATTCTTGTTTCTTTTGCTATCCTTGTCATAGTGAATAGGCTGTTTCTTTCGCTATTCTTTGTCACAGCAGAGGTGGCTTCATCATTTGTTATACAACAATGCTTGTTATACAATGATGTAAATTTTTTTTTTTACTATATAGATAAAAAAAAGCTGACCACGTAACCGCTTTTGATTGGTCAATCACGAGATTGCTATAGTAACAAGTTACTATAAACTAATGCTCTTTATTTTAAATATTTTTCATAGTATTAATTTTTCAAATACAATTAGAAGAAACTCCTCAATATATTTTTGCAGATTTAGATAAAAATATATAATGAAATTGGCTTGAAATCTTGTAATATAAATTTATAAAGAAAATAAAGTGCTAATATTCTAGCAGTAATTAGATAATTTGTTCTTCTTTAATTCTATATACCAGAACTTGCTAATTATTTTTCTTTTTTAGCTATTTATATTACTTGTCAAAAGTACTATAATCAAATTATTGCTAATGATAATTATAAACTTGCAAGTTTAAATTAAGAAGAAACTCAATTTGATACTAATCAAGATAATATAGCTATGAGTTATACCTATTAAGATAATATAACTATAAGCTATAATAATCTGATAGTTAAGCTCAATTTTTAAAAAATTAAAAAAAAAATAATACAAATAGCTTATAATGATATAATTAGGGAACTGCTATTCGCACCATGGTTTCTGCAGATCATTTCGATTTTATCACAAAATTATTTCAAACATTTTAAACTTTGATCG